TGTTCCCCAACAAGTTCCAGTCAGCGTACTTTGTTGGGTCCTTGCGATATGTAAGCTCAATCACCACTTCAAGGAAACAGCTATCGGTCGGGAGGGTAACAGAAGACAGAAGATTGACAGGAGAACCAACACAGGAGATTTAGAGACACAAGTATATAGAAAATCAACGCGCACAGATCAAATACTCAACTATACTAGCAATAATCCAATTACTCACAAACGAAACTGTGTGCAGACATTGTTTAAAAGAGTTCAAACGCATTGTAGCACTCCAGAGTTGAAAAGAATGGAAGAAAAGTACCTAAAAACGGTCTTCAAAAAGAATGGTTATCCACAAAATTTCATCAAAAAGTGTTTAAAGTCGAATCAAAACACCAACAAGGAACCATCATCAAAGACCACAAAAAAATTAATCCTACCATACATGAGAAAATCTCTGAAATAACAGCTAGAATACTGAAACCGTTGGAAATAGATATCGCATACAAGCCAGTCAAATCACTTAATTCGATATTGTGCAAACTGGAAGATCCAACAGAAAAAGGAGATAAAATTGTCAAATCAGTCATTTCTTCTATACGGATCAGAAACTTCCACTGCATGTCACTAATAGCATTCCCAACAGGTTACAGACCGCCTTCGCTAGCTCCATTATAAAGATCAAATGGCCGGTCGGCCAGGAAGAATTACCAACAAAAACCTCTGGCTGGGAAGAAAAACCAACCAAGAGCCGATCGCTCAACAAATATGTAGGAGAAAATGGAGATGAATTGGGCATATGTTGAGGAGACCGTCGAATGACATCGCGTGCAATGCAGGCCATTGCTCGAGTGGAATTCCAATTGGAAAAGCCGAGTGGGTCGTCAACGTCAAAGTCACTGAATGAGGTCAACCAGCTTTACATCGTAACCTCTACATACCCACGGTTAGATCGGTTCCTGATTTTCAATGATCTCTTCAATTGATGTTCGTACGTGATGAAATATAAAGAGTTGAAAGTAAATGAATTCAAATCCTTATAAACACCATATATTCTAAATACTTAAGACAGTTATTGCTCAAAAGCAGTAATTGGATTTTCTATCTTCAAAGTCTTCAAACTATGGAGTGGAACAGTATGAACTGTTGACTGCCCTAGTAGTTAGCCGAATATCTCAAAAGCACCAATGGTAGACAAAGCTTTCGCATACGAAATATGGTGTAGCCCAATAATTATGCTTTAAGGCAACTGAGAAAATTAAACATTGAAAACCTGACTGATAGAATTCAGTCTACAGCAAAGAAAGGACTATTAGATGTATCACACAGTGAAACAATATTATATACTGGATGACAAAGTTTCGAACAAAATTTATTGTTCATAATCATTTCATCAATTCTAATCACACGCCTTCAAAACTTGACTTTTATGCTTTTCTTTCTTCGCTCCTATTTGTCGCCATTGGCTGGTAGAATTTTCCAGATATCTGGATGGACAGGTGTTGAATCATTCCCATTACACGTATTCTCTTCAGTTGATTCAATAAACAAAGCTTCCGTTATCAATCTCTCCCTCCACCCTGTTACATTAGATTTTAAAACTGTCATCCTATCCCATCCTATTGCATGGTTGTGTGTAACTGCATGTAGTGCTATAGTTGAACTATTCTCTAGATTTCTTATCTTATTCGGCTCAATCAATCTAGATTTTGCTAGGTTTTTATGTTCGGCTAGTCTGACTGCCCCTGTTCTACTATTTGACCTATGTATTTGACCTAACAATCATTCCAGCAGGGTATTAGATAAACTGAATTCTTTTGTTTTAAAGGCTTCACAAGATCCCTTAACCGTCAAAGCTTGTTTCTAATTAAGTTTGTGGGTTTGAATGCCACTTTTATTCCTGCCTTGTTAAGAATTCTGTGTAAGGTTTCCGAGGTTGCTTCCTTGTATGGAATTACTACTGATGATGTAGATTTCTTATGGTTAGTGTTGTCTTGCGCATATTTGACTTGCATGTCGTCATTGATATTGTTATTATTATGACTATCGCTACTATCATTATTTATTTTATTTTTACATTTCCCTATATATTTCTTGACTAATTTATCAGGGTAATTATTAAGTTTCAAGGCTTCTTTTATGTGTATCACTTCCTGTCTTAGATTTTCCTTGGTACTACTTAGTTTTTGTTCTCTGTCACTTAAGCATTTCACCAATCCTAGTTTTACTGACATAGGATGAGCTGATCGGAAGTCCAAATATCTGTTTGAATGTGTGGCTTTCCTGTAAACACACTAGTGTGTTTAACTTCCCATCTTCTTTCCTTTTTACATTGCAATCTAACATTGGTAGCTCCCCTTCCTGACTTTCTAATTCATAAGTGAATTGAATTGCCTCCACCTTTGAGTGAATGGGTCAAACTAGTAGAACAGGGGCAGTCAGACTAGCCGAACATAAAAACCTAGCAAAATCTAGATTGGTTGGCCCGAATAAGATAAGAAATCTAGAGAATAGTTCAGCTACAGCATTCACCACATGCAATTACACACAACCATACAATAGGATGGATGGGATAAGATGACAGTTTCAAAATCTAATACAACTAACAGGGTAGAGGGAGAGATTGATAACATAAGCTTTGTTTATCGAATCAACTGAAGAGAATACGTGTAATAGGAATGATTCAACACCTCTCCATCCAGATATCTGGAAAATTCTACTAACCCAAACAGTGACAAATAGGAGAGGACAAAGAAAACTGTAAAATTCAAGTTTCGAAGTCGTGTGTGATTATAATTGATGAAATGATTATGAACAATGAATAAATTGTGTTCGAAACTGTGTCATCCACTAAACAATAATACTGTTTCATCACTGTGTGATACATCTAATAAACAAACTAATATGGAATTACTTACTGCCACAGTGTCCAAGTTTTTCACATATATTAAAGAAAGGACTAGACACATCAGTCTAGTTACTACTGTCCAATCAAAGTATCCAACGCAGTCCTATAGGAAGTGAACCGCGAACCTGAATAGCTCATTGGTAACGTCTTTGACTGCAAGCAGCACTGGGTGACGCGTGTTCGAATCTCAAAAGGGACATGAGTTCCTTCAAAGTTGCAGATATGCCTGCCTTGCTGACTGGTGAGTGCCAAATAGCACGAAACCCAAGTCCAAGGCCTCTTGCCGATTGCCTCCAACCATCTAATATCATTAAATCAATGTGTACCGTGATGGCGAGCTACCTAGAATGGTGGCCGTATTGCAAACCTGACTGACAGAATTCAGTCTGCACACTAGTTACTAGTGTCCAATTAAATATAGGGTAACTTACTGAGAAACAAGCTTTTTCTCTACACACACAACATCAGCAGCACAAATGATGAATATTCAACAGTCGATTGAGTTTCAGCATAGAACCTTGAACAGAAGTCCAACAGTCCAAGATTCCACACTCCATGTAGCACACAAAAATAGAGACAAAAGAGAATCATAAGAAATACAATGAGCAGAAATATACACGAAAAGGAATAGTAACAAGGAGGAAAAAAATGAAAACTTGAAGGATTTAAAAGACTTACAAACAGTGAATGCATCTGCACCATTCAGAAAGAATTTGAGCTAACATCACCAACAGTTTCAAGCTATTTATTGGTCCTTAGTTATCTCAACAACTTTGGTTAAGCAATCCACATCTACCTGTCTGGCTTAAACTAACCACCAGATACTTCAAGATCAATGCAAAATTTTGCTTTGACTGCCCACCTTTACTTCTTTCTCAACCTAATTCTATGTCATTTAATTGAATTTTAGATTTCTCCGTCGATTGATTCGACCGAAGTGCTCAGTCACAGGTTGACATGTGGGCTTCTTGTGCAGATGCTTCGACGATGTCTGGACATGTAATTAGAATTTAAATGGTGTATGGTGACTAGAAGTAGAATCCACGATGCACATTTCGTCTTACATCCGGCTGGCGAGTCCCAAATGGGACGAAATGAGCATCCTGGATTCTACTTCTAGTCACCATCCACCAATTAAATTCTAATTTCATGCCCAGATATCGTCGAAGCATCTGCACAAGAAGCCGACATGTCAACCTGAGACCGAGCACTTCGATCCAATCAATCGACAGGAAAATCTAAAATTCAATTAAATAATTAATATGACCCGTTGCATAAGAGGCAGTGGCTCTCGTGACCCAAGTGGTCTGTCTAGTGGATAACGCTTTGGCGTTTGAAACTATGGGCACTGGGTTCGAGCCTCCGTTGTGGGAAAATCATCACTCACTCACTGGGGAATCCAGGTACATCCAGATGACGAGTCCCAAATAGGACGAAGTGCGCGTTATCCTGGATTCCACTGCTAGTCACCATCCACCAATTAAATTCGAATTCTATGTCAGCTAACTATATTACTTGTTGAGGGAGGCGGTGACTCGGCATACACCACACAGGTGTCCTAGTCATCTCAATCAATGTAGTCGCTTCACAACCTCGTCAACTGATTTACCCTCCTTACCTGGCACACTCTACACTTAACCTCATCAATGCTGACCGTGTTAGATTACTTAACACGAGACACACAATGGAAACATCTGTGATCAAAGAATATCCAACTATACCTTTACTATTATGAAATATTTACATACGAAATCAGATTAATAAGTGTGGGGGTGAATAAATCAATGAAAAAGACGAGTGTAACATCCACATCAACAATAAGCAAATAACCGTCTCAGTGATCTAATGCGCTTGAGTAGTTTTACGACTCAAACAATGAGGAGGGGTTGTTTTGGGGTTTGAAACACCACACAAAAAGAAATTCAGTAACGCTTAACCTGATTATTATTTAAATGAAGTTCTCAAAAGGTATTTTATAAATATAAAACTGAGAGTTATATATAAAGACAACTGAAAGATAATCAACTTTTTTACAAGAAAATGAAAATGGAAAAAAAGCACACACACACATTCAGTGTGTGAGTGTGTGTGTGTATTTGCGTGTATCACTTACTAAGGTTGCTGTTTGGTGTATAGGTCTTTTCTCTGCAGAAATTTTGCGTATAAAAAATTCTGATAAACATGAATAACTTGTTAAATTAGGATTTTCCACTTCACTTAAATCACACTGGAAAAATTTAGCATATGAATGATAGACAATAGGTCTTAATGGTTCTGGAATATAACATTGAGCAATTCGACCCCAAGCTTTAGATAGACCATTCAACGGAAAATATCGTAGGATAGTTGCCTGTTAATAAAAAAGAAGAAGGAGGTACAATAAGGCGAAATTTAAAAGGATAGAAGTCGTCTTTTTAGAAAACTACACCATTTACGAATCAATAGAGATGAATGTCTAGCTAGTATTTACGGAACATTGAGACAACTAATGATGTTTAACGAAAGACAAAAACGGATACAACCATTGACGATATAGGTTAAATTGTAACAACAGAAGACAAGGGTCAGGCAACAGATCATCTATATGCTAACTGTATCCACCTACGCAAATCCTTTGTTCTCATTTTCTCACCACCAATATTGGGGACATAAACATTGACGTCAATTACTGTCTACCAACTTTGGCTATCAGCCATCTCTCACCACACTCGTCCCCCTGTCAAAGACTTGCGACTGAAGTTGGTTCGGTCTTCTTGGTTCTTGGGGCTTTGCCCTTTTGTCTTGCTGTCTGAAATCTCGGCGCTTGCGGATGTTCACCTGCTTCTCTGTGTTTTCCATTGCGATTGTGTCTGCGTAACCCCATCTCAACGTGACCATATGTGGTCTTTTCCACTTTGGAAAGTGTTTGCCTGACCCTGTCGCACATTCGTAGGTATTTCGCCTCACACTTCCATATGCTGCTTTCTCCCGACCTCCCAGCAGCGTCTCAAGTAGCAGCCTCATCGCTGACAGAACCTGAACGTCACTCAACTGCGCAGAAGCCTCGGAGTCCTGCCAGAAAATCCATATGTCTCCATCAAAAACTGCAGGGCATAGGCTTTCCATTTGTCGGTAGGCAGCGACACTAAATGTAACAACAGAAGACAAGGGTCAGGCAACAGATCATCTATATGCTAACTGTATCCGCCAACGCAGAGCCTTTGTTCTCAAAATCAGTGACGAAAAACAAAAACAACAACAACTAGCACCAACTGCTATCAACGGGAGAAATTTGAGTAAAAGGTTAATTCCTTCATTTATTTATTTAGGCAGCATCGTTACAACCACAGGCAGTTGGGACGAATGAAGATGTGAACATCAGCCATGATCGGAAAGGCAAGACAAGCCTTCATCAACCTGAAACAAGTTTGGGAATCTTCTGCACCCAAGCAGCAGAAAGGATAAGATCCAAATTTTCAACACAAATGTTAGTTAAATTAGTCAATTCCTCTATACGCGTCAGGAACTTGCACTACACGTGAATCACGAAAAGCATTTCCAACAGCCGGATGCAGACTTTTATCAGCAGCTGCCCACGTCGCTGACTCCATTATGAAAGAATTAGCAACAAGAAACTGGTTGGCAACAAACCAACCAAGAGCTGATTGATCAATAAATATGTAGAGAATATGGAGATGGATCGGATCCATTTGCTGAGGAGACCGTCGAATGACATCACGTGCAATACAAACCATCACTCGAATGGAATCCCAATGGGAAGCGATCAGTGTGTCATCGGAGCGAGAGTGACATCGAGGAGATTGGGTGGTGAGGAGGAGATGACAGATTATGGACAGTCGTGGAGCTAGGCAGCTGAAGAGGACAGAAGAAAATAGAACAAAGAGATGTGTTGTTGAAGCCCTATCTCCCACCCAGAACCCCTTTACACTCAGAGTAAAACAAAGGGTTTCAGGCTTGAGTTTTGAAGTTTCAATAGTAGTAGTGTTTGCTTTTTAGGTGGGTGGGGGGGAGTTGTCAACCCTAAACCCAACCTTCCCAGTTTTCAGGTATTACTACCAGCTAAGAGAGGCTTATGAGTGCATCAGCCAGGGATCGAGTCACGAACCAGATGTGTGGTTGGCGAGTGTATTCTACCACTGAATCGCCAACGTAATTGAACAAATAGTCCGACAAAAAATCAAGAAAATACTGACAATATCCTAACTTTGTGAACTGTACACCTTCGAATCCCTACCTAGGCGACAAGGTAGTATCACCAAACATCTTAAACAACAGGTATAGTTCACTGCCTGGTATATGGAAAATTTGTCTCAGGTAACTTCTGGATTACACTATACTTACATTAACTCTCTACTACAGTCTCTTCACTACACTATAAGGAATTTAATAAACTAGATGATACTTAAGAATGAAACTACTGAAATGCAGTTAGCAGCAACCAACTAGATGATGTAATGCACAGTTATTTACTGGATTTTTGTTCATAATTATCTCTTGATTGTTTAAAAGTTGGAATCTACACTAAACGCATCCAGAGATTGTAGTTTGAAGAGTTTACCTAAAGTGTTTATACTTTAATTTTAAGAAATTAAAACAATTTACTGCATAAAAAGATGCTGACAACTGAGAACACTGGAAATTTTATAAATCCTTAAGGGGACAACCAGAAGAAAATATTTAATAAGACTGAATAACTGACTGCTTTCAACATAGAACTTTGCAGAGATGTGCACCGGTACCAGTTGCCACACTCTACTCCATGTAGCACACAAAGCAACAGAAGAGAGATAATAAGCAAAAGTGTGAGGGAAAAAGAATAGTAATATGGAAGAAGAATAGAGTTTTGTTGGATATGACAAATCACAAAGAGTGAATGCATGCATCTGCACCAGTCATTGAGAACGAAGATTTCGAGCCACATCACCAGTTGTCTCCAGCCTTGGTTCTTACCGTCCCGAGGATTCCAACCAGTCAGGAAGTCTACATCTCCCTATGTGACTGACTTAAACTAACTGTTATGGATTCCATTGACTGATGAGGCCATGTCTTAGTTTGATCACCACTAGCTCCTTTCCAACCTGATCTATCCTAAATCAACTAAAATTTCCCATTGAGTAAGGTGATGTGATTAGGCATGCGTAACACATGTCCTTACCATCTGTCAATCGATGTGACTTCACAACCTCGTCAATCGGTTTACCAATTTATTCAGACAGAAATACAACGTCTAGTACGAGTATAAGTGTTATGATAACCTACCAATAAGAAGGGTGCGTGGGTGGCACAGCGGTAGAATGACCACCGAACAAACATGTGGTCCGGGGTTCGATACCCGGCCACCGACGCACTCCTTTACCTCGATAAGCCAATAATAAGATTGGTATAAAGGGAAGGTTGGGCATGAGGCTAGCAACCCCATTCCATAAAAATAAACATCACTACTATCTAATCTTCAAGCCTCTACCTTGAAGCCCTATGTTCCACTAGGAACGTAAATGAATAAAACAAAAAACGAATACCAATAAGAACTGATGGTGCAAATAAGTAGCCATGTGTCCATTACATTCAGTAGGAACGTAAGATTTCCTAGCTTCATATTTGTTAAGTTCGCTTGGTATAATGAACAATAAATTATGCTTGGGACGTCATCCACCTATTATTGTTTATGATCACAAGATTATCACACATCAGCCCCAACGGGTTGATCTCTGACGATATCTCAGCATGGATACAGAAGGCTAGTTTAGCATATGCCAGTTTATGTCGTCTTTGGCTTAGTAGACGTGATATCCGGCTGTCGACCAAAGGGAGTGTGTACTGCTCAGCAGCCTGCTCCGTCCTCGTTTATGGCTAGTTGTGAGTGTTGGCCATTGAGAGTGGAAGACATGAAAAGACTAGCTGTCTTGATCATAGATGCCTGCGTTCTATCTCCCGTGTGAAGTGACAGTATAATAGGCTGAGCAGTATTAAGGTTAGGCTTCGGTCGAGTACTAAGTAAGGAGGGGGAATTAATCGACGAACCTGTGAAGTTACATCGACTGAATTGGTTAGGGCATGTGTTACGTATGCCTAGTAATCGCCTTCCTCGATTGCCGGGCAATGTTAGCTGACATAGGGTCAGCTTGGAAAAGAGCCAGTGGTGGCCAAACCAAAACATGGTACCAGTCAACGAAATCCCCAACAGTTACTTTAAGCCACGTAGGAAGGTGGAGACTTCCTGACTGGTTGGGGTCCTCGGGATGGTAAAAACCAATAGCTGGAGACAATCGGTGATATGGCTCAAAATCGTTCTCAATGGCTTGTGCAGATGCATCCACTCCTTGTGACTTATAATTTCCAATGAAACTATGTTGTTCTTCGTTATTACTAGTCCTTTTGTTTCATATGCCTGTCTACTGTGTCTATTTTGCATTTCTCCTACTTTCTTCTCTTGCTTTGTGTGCTAAATGGAGTTTGGCGACTTGAACTGCTACACATCAGTGTAAAGTTCTATGTCGAAAACAGACAGGCCGACCAAACACATCCTTCACTCGTTAACACTGTGTATTGTATCAAATAAACTTATCCAACAACAAGTTAAATTCTACTGAAGTGACCAGCTTCTACTCTTACACGCCGGTTTTTCAGCAGCCGATAAAATAATTTACCGAAATATGAAATTTTTCAGTAAAAATTTATCGAGGACTATCATGAGAACTATAGATATTGACTAGGCATTCCAAACAAATCATATTTTTTGGGGGAACATACACTTACGCTGAAATAACGCGGATAGTATTCCGGTGTATCTTCTGTGTCCGTAAGGAATAAAAAGCCGAAATATGCACTAAAAAGGCCACATGTCGCCCAAATTGGTTTAAATTTAAACACCTTCTTCGGGACATTTGTAACAAACACTAAAAATAGCTTATAAGTGAAAGGAAATACGTCATACTCAGTTTTTTAGGACCATTGAAATATTTTTGGAATCTTGACGGAAAACGAAAAGTAAATTTATGCATCTGAAAATAAAAACATTAAGAATAAAGCAGAAAGTGATTACGATAAGGCTTATGATATAAAAGTGATTATTACATAAAATGTGTAGAATTTGATAAATGATTCAAAATGGAAACTACCCTCCGTAATGACAAAAACTGGAAAACTGACGTAAACCGAACTTTTTCAACGCATAAATTTGTTTTACGACTTTTAAAGATAATGCCTACAGTGAAAATAAAAGGCTTCAGTCCTAACTTTGATGGTGACATGCAACCAAAGTCTTTAATATGTTTAGACTTTTCAGTCGAACATTCATCGTAATGTAACGGTTGGTTGACAAATTTGACACGAAATTTCGCAAGGAAGTGAATCAGTACAAGATTTCACACTTGAAAATCACAGGACATATGAGAAAACATTAGCAATTAAACAATGAAATGAACTAGTATGCATTGCAAGTGACATTTAGTAGCTTGTAGGATATAACGTTCTTTCCAAACTTCACTGCCACTTCTCATTAAAGCTATCAGTTTTCATACGCTTCTTCTACCTTGCAAGCATACGAGACCCAAATGTATTTATTAGAGTAAGTTTATTCAGCTGTATGTGATTAATCTACAAAATCTGCCCTACAAATATCATGGTGTTCTATGTTAGGTTTCCGTCGACTCATAGGTATGTGGATGGCATTAAGGTCTACAACCGAAAACTAAATTTTCGCCTGGATCTCAGTGGAGTCTTGTTACATGCTGCTGGATGGGTTTGTAAGGACAAGATAGGATCACAAAATAGATCTTTACTGTATTCTTCGTTTACGTACTCACTTGCAGACTTTCAGACTAATTAAAGGATAAGTATGATCAGCGAATGTTTGCAGCATAAAGCTCAACTAGGTACGAGCAGAGTCGAGAAGACACATCTGGGGTACGGTCAAGTCTAGGGGAGATGAAGCGACCACCTTTCATAACTGTTTTACATAGTTACGTGCTTTTAACCAGAAATAACTTTGAACGTGACCAGCAAGAATGTGGCCATGTGGCATAAGCATTCACCGATATCAAGAATTGCAATCTATATTAGTGGTAATCACTTCCTTGTGGATTACGGGGTTAACCGGGAGAATCACAAATATAAGCGCCACGTTCCGTGCGTTGTTAGCCCAATAATGGCATGCCGGACAACCACGCACGTTAACCAGATTTAATTCCAGGCCGACACACCCCTAAACATTGCCAAGCCAGCAGTACATCCGGAAAAGATGGACGGTTCAGCAAAACAGCAGACAATACCTCCAATAAAACCTAAAGAGGTTACAACCCTGTGTACAGCTGCGAATGCAGGGATGCCGAAATACTACAATGACTACGGATAGCAAGACAACAGCAGGTCATTTCTCTGTACGTCATTGATAGATTGAAAGTTTTATTAGGAAGCTTTGCGGAGATCAGGTCATGTTGGCTCCTTCAGATGCAACAGCAGCTTACAAGGTACCGGAAGAAGCTACAGTTACGTTCTTCTGCGCTTTTGCTGGTGGGAATGTGACATTCCGGTTGAGTCAATTTGGTCCTAGCCACACAGACTTTAGAAATGATTTGAAACAAAATCTAATCAGTAAACGCTAGTTGAAATCCAAGAGGCAGTGTATATTTCTGAAATTTCAGAAGATTGAAACACCGGGGCCAGATAGTAACCCCCAAATGATTAACTACGGCAGCGCTGACTAGAAAGAATGCTTGGTATTGTATAAGGATCCAAGTGTGTGTTAAAAGGCCGATTTCGACCATTCCATGTTAGAATGTTAGCTCTTCCTCAGATCTAATCTGCTTATGGTAACCATAATTATATACCTCTGGACGAAGGATTTTTAACTCTGACACTATCATAATTATTTATGTCACATGAATTAAAAATAACAGGTCAACAAAGGGTACAAACCCACAGACATCCACAAAAGACGTACGGTTACGCAGTATCTCGAAAAAACTCGAAAGATATCAAGGTCACACATAGACATTAGTCCAACATCCAATGCTTTGCTAGTGTAAACCAAATTGCTTTTTTTGATTTAAACGTTTATTATTTTAGGTGAAGACCCGGACTAATTCGTCCTGTCTTCTATCTGTTGCAGCCTTGTTACATCATGAGGTAAGTGATATTACTGGTGGCATGTACATCACTTGTAGTATGCGGTCTCCAAAATCGTTTATACCAGCTAGTGCGGCACCAAATGATTTCTTCGAGCTCACTTCTTGTTTGTAAGGCCAAGGTTATAGATCTTTGTTAAACTTCTGTGTGGAATGTCTCGTGACTCTACTGCCGTAGCTTTGATTTACTCTAAGGGAAGTGGTGCCGGGATTGATTATTTGAGGTTTCTAGTAGGCGGTATGTTAAGGCTGTGTCACTGCTCTAAATATAGCTGATCCTCTAACCTTTTAGCCATCCAGCGTGGCCGTAATGATGGTAACAATTGTATAATTAGTAGTCATGACAGGTATCATTAGTGTAGACCAAGCGAACCTATAAATAAAAAAGTTCAAATAAATAAGCGATGAAATTCAATCATTAAAAAATCAGATAAAATAACTAAGTAAATGGGCAGTGTAGTTGGGAGAACAAGACAAGGGAGAATGGGCAGTGGTAAAGCAATAGTTAAGATGTAAACCAATTAATAGATGTGGTGCGTGAGTTTTAAAGATATGGTCCATTTTGACACGGTCATTTTGTCGCTGAATGATTATCCAGGCTCCATTTATAGCTTTCCATGGGCGCTGCAGTAGCCGCAGCTTCTCGTAAACAAGTCCAAGGACAACAAACTCAAAGCTAAAAGAATTGGGAAAGCACTTAAATCTTCGCTCTCTGAAGCGTGCAATTACTTTCGTGGCAGGATATCTCTGTTTTGGTAATTCTGGTCATTTGTATTCCAGTAGGCAGTAATTAGGTCACTCCTAGACTGGCTGTCGCTAAGTAAGAAAAACGCCTCATATCGTCGGCCGTTCATTGTATGGTTTGTGCTGCAGACCCATGACCCATTTTATCACCCGCTTTGGGACCCTTTCCAAAAAACTGGTATCCATTCTATGTAAAGGTGGTGTGGTTTTACGTATGCTTTCTAAAACCTTAGAAAAATCTCAGGAGTGAGAGCACTTAACTTTTTGTGCTTCACGCACAAAACCCCATGGCACATCTTGAGTGTGATTCACGCTTGTACACAGCTTCTCCGTTAGAACTTGACCTAAGTTGCGCTCTGACTTTGAAAATAAAAGTCATCGTCACACATCGAGTACCTCTCTCTCTGCGGCGTACGGGTGCGTAATTGCACTACTGTGAACCTCTTAATTTTAAAACTCGTACTACTGACCAGTGGACAGTAATCCAGAATTTCTGGGTCTTCTCGCTAGCTATCTGAGTCTCTCAAGTACTTTATTGCTCTTCAAATCTTTTCGTCATCACAGTAGAGAAGAGTCGTATGGTTTGGATGGTCTAACAGGTCACTGATGAAAACCAAGAAACGCTAAGGGCCAAGGGATAAAACTCTGGGAGACAGCCTATGCCAAACTGTGCCCAGGATGTTCGGACATGACTGTGTTCGCAGCAGAGTTCTTCTCCGTCTAGGTAGTTTTCCAGCCGATTTATTTGGTGATGGGGAAGGTATTGCTTAATTGCGTAAAATGCATTTGTAAAGTCGGGAAAGATCACGTGAACTGGAACATTCATATTCTAGCTTGATGTTCATTCATTCCACTTTAATGGTAGAATTGTCGCTCAGGAACCACCTCACTCAAAACCATGTTGTGCTTTATGGGTTTCGGTGTTTCTTGACATGATCATCAACTAGGTCTTCCAAAGTTTTTGATACCACTGTGAGTAGCACTGAGTTACAATGATCCTTGCCTTTGAGGATAAGTGACAGGATGGCTCTCTTCCAGTCTTTTTTGAGTTTCTCTGAATCAATGGAGTGCTGGAAAATGTCACATAACAACCCGCAGCGGGCTTCTGTGAAATTTTCAGAACAGACAGTTGAGAATCATCACAAACTGAAAACTTCCTAGAGCTTAGTTTCTGCTACTTCATTAGAACTGTCGCAGGGCTAATGTGAAGCACCCTCATCAGGTTTTCATTCGGTGATATAGCGGTGGGACTCTTTTGACCCACCACAATAACTACAGCCAGACCTCCCTAGGGTCCCATCCCTCTGGTCAGCAAGTTTTCTTTTCGGAATAAATTGGCATAGGCTTTTGGGATCTGCCAGGAGTTTTCGAGCAATACTTACCTAAACTGACCATCTGCGGCTCCGCACCCATTTGTTGCATCGATTTCTGAGTTCCACGTATGCATCAGGCTAACTCCTGGGTAGTTGCCACGTGAGCTGGTGCTTTCGCATGCAGAACACACTGCTTGCCTCTCTTCAGCCATGAGCACTTCATTCAAGGTCGTAGTATGACTAGAAGAACGACATCTGAGATCACCTCGCCTCAGCACACAGCTGCCCGTTGGCTTGCAGTGAAGCTGAAACCCATTAGTCGACTTCTTTTCACTTTGCAGGAAACACGTTTCAACACAAACAGTTGTTCTCATCATATTAAAATATCTGAGGTTGTTGTGTGAATAATTCCTTTTACAACTTCCCAGTGTTACTCTACTGGTGGTTCAGTTCAATCTTTCGGTCATTCTGTGTCAGTTAAAAGTCTTATGATATTGGTGTAGTTGGCTTTGCTATGATGCGAACGGGGCTAAGTAGCATTCCACTGTAAGCGCTCACACAGGACGAGATCAAACGGTATGACTGCATGGTGACTTCTACCCAGAGTGGTCATGATCGGAGCGCCTCTCACTAGTAAATATTCACCAGTTGGGATGTAACCCGGTTTCAATGACTGTCTGCTAAGGCCCTACTTTGTCTCTCCAACATTCTCGATCAGTCAGGAATTTCTAACAAATTTTGGCAAATTCAGATAAAATTTTCCGGGAGCACACCCTGATCCTAGGTTAAAAGAAGGAGCAACAAATTTTCCAGCTGTGATGATTTGGTCATAGCTCATTTTCCGTATGCCTGAGTTGGTGTTGAGCAGTAGTTGGTTATGCTGTGCTCCGCATGGGGATGGTCGACAGGTGCCACTCATTGAATGTGTGATGTAGTCGATGGCAAAATACATGGAGTCTCAGAGTTCGCTAGCTGTTGAATCCGATGCTGGGTTTCATCGAAGCTGCTAATCTATGCTAGTGGCAACCGCAGTCCCCTTTAAGTGGTGCCTGTCTTTCCTGACCGGAACAATATAGCAGCACCGAACGTGTCCGCTGACTTTATCCTTCATCTCATAATACTTTTGGAGAAGTGCAGCCAGTCGCTCATGGGAGCTAAATTTGACTACTGGTAGCCATGACGGGCTGATCGATGTTAGGTGACTGAGACGAGGTGGTCTACTCATAGATGTTATGCCAGAACCATCAATAGTCGTCTGAGATAACAGCTGTCTCCAACCACGGAACCTTGTGTATGATCATGGAGATAGATGGTAGCTGCCTCATTGTTTGCCTAGGTGCTCGTCGTCTGTCAAAGGGAGTAGAGTGGATAGTGGTTTTGAGCTCAGTGTTTTACCGGGTTTATGCTTATATGCCGGCGGTTGATATTTCCAGTTCCTAAAGCTGACTGTATCCATATTTCAGCAGTTGTTTACACACAGTGATAAGTTTTTCGTTTTACTCGAAATATTACCAAAATAATATATATTTATCATTGTATGTTGGCAATCATTTAAACACAAAATTAATTAATCTAATCTATTGCGCAATGCATAAACTTTCATAGGAGCTAATTTCCTGTTTCTTTTTTCAACGCGCTAACGAAAGATCAACATATTTGAAAATATCCGCATTTTCGAGAAGACCCTTTCTTTCGGTTTTTTAAACGCTCTCGGCTGGCTACTTGCGGAAACGGATGGACGTAAAATCACAACTGATTCAGTCGGTCTAATTTCGTTGCCATAGGATGAGGATGAAAAAAATCAGAACATACGAACAGGTCCTTAAAATTGGTATTCATGGCACCTTTAATTCTGTTAATTGTTGTCGGTGCAATCTGAGGCTGCAACCACAACAGAATACGAAATTGTGGTGGCTTTCGGTAAGCTAAAGTTTACTGTCTTGTCACGGCTCTTCATTCACTATGGCAGATAGAAACAAGGGGAGTTGCAACAGAACACTTGACCAATGGTAAAAATCTAGACGGCTAACAAAGTGTACGAGGAATATTTTGGGTCAACTTTAGACTTTTGGCTTTTGGCTTCAAAACAATCGCTTAGCAGGTCAACATATTTGGGTTTTAGACATCTGAACTTACGGCACAGAGGTGCAGTGTGGAAACAATGGCTGAAAGGAGTTCACCAGTAGGGTGTAGAATTCCCGAAGAGGTAGTTAAGAAGAAGAAATTTTCTTGTTTTAGACGGAAGCAGAATTCAGTACCTACTGTCACGTATACGAGCTTGTGTAAGCATTTTGAATTCTTGGCTCCTAGTGATTGTTGTTTCGGATCCCACTACAGTCCATTTATTTGATTCCTGCATATCTGCATGTGGTATATTAGTTTGTTTAGAAGGGAGTGTATGATTTGTACCAAGGTGATGGCGGAGTCGGTTGCCGGGAATTCCATCTCATCGGGTGATCTTACAGTGGATATGGTAAGCACTTTAGATTATGTTATAGTAATTGAGTGGCTTGGGGAACCTGATCAATGGGTAGAATAAACAAATGGAAGGCACCGGATGATGACTGGTAGTAAGGCAGATAGGATAGTGTGACCTACCGTTTCCATGTAATGGCCTTTTTTGAACACTTTCAATTGAACGGCGGCTGCATCGGCAGGCAGTAAATTCTACAGTTGACAAACTCTTAAGAGAAAGAAATTGGACCCATCTTTGTTGGTGTCCTTCAATGAGAAATTCTGTCAGGGTTGACCCGAAGAAAACCACAGAGCATTTCTGT